CCTCTTCTGGCTGCAGATATAATTACCGCTCAATCAGGCCTGCCCCCCCTCCTACCCCTCCCAAAAACCGATCGCCCAGCTCCCCCCGGCCTGCTGGCATGGTCGGCAGCACCCACCACCACGAGAGCGGAACGCCTCTTGACAACGCGGCGGTCAGCAGCTGCCGCTGCCGCAGCTGCCACAGCTGCACAGGAGCAGCGTATAGATCAGCTGCAGCCGCGCCAGGAAGAAGAAGCCACCAGTTTATCGTTGTCGCGATACTACTATATATCGGCGCGCTGACCGTGACCCCGCCATCGCCGCCTCTGGCATAACGCCGATCAGCTGTCGTTGCATTATCGTCGATAAGCCCGATGCACTTTGAGGTCGCCGCGGCTGCCTCTAGGCCTCTGAGCTGCGCCAGCCGAGCAACAAATGACAAATCGATGTGTGCACCTGCCCCGCCTCGCCTTGCCCTGCCCTGCCCCGGGGCGAGCAACCCCTAACACCGGCGTGACGACTCAACAAGTGGGGGAGGGAGGGAAGGGCAGGGAGATAGCAAAGGTGGCGGAATAAAGCGTAGCGGCCGAGCGTGCCATACATCGGGCCGGTTGTAGTTGTGCGATATCAAAACTGGGAACATTCGCGGAGGATGGGGACGCAAGTGTGGAAAGGGAACGGATTTTGGCGAATCTTTCCGAATTCACAATCGCATAATCTCTTTCGCACTTCCACGTCGTTTTGCTGAATGGATGTATTCCAGGGGGAAGAGTCGGGCGGCAACACCGCTTACAGAGGCCTCGACCTCGACAGAGGCAGACACCGTGTCAACCGCGGGGAAGGACCTGGCCAAACTGTACTCCGCTAGGTACTCCTCCGCCGCCGTTGCCGACCTCCTCAGAACGACGCCTCCGGGCTCCTTTCACGCTGATGACAATCCTTATTGTGCTTCTTCCTCCTCGACGACAACGGAACATCCGCTGCTGGAGGGTGCGGGCAAGTGCGCGCACGTCCTCCTCAGCGTCCTCAGCCACGCCCCGCCCCAACGGCGTGCCGCGCGCGCATGCCGGAACTCCCGAGGTCCGGCCCACCCCGGCCCCGCCGTATACCGCTGCAGTTAATGGCAGATAAACCTTTTTACGCGCAGCGATAAAGGGAGACATTCGGTCTCGGGCCGAACCGCCCCGCCACGCCCAGGCAGGCACTTGAAATCCATTACTCGCGGCTGCAAGCGATCAGAATTGAACGCCCGGTCCTCAAGCCGAGCCGAGGGGCCGCTGGGCGGCGAGCCGTGAGAGTGTGAGAGAGCTGCCAAACTCGAGCTGCCGTGCCCTGCCCGGCTCGAGGCCCGCGGCTGCAGCGTCGCGCTAACAAGACGTGAACGACGCTCCAAAAGCCTCCATATTTGGTAGTCTTCCACCCGCTCAACCGCAAAAGCTTACGAAAACAAAATATCCGGCAGAAACCCATGGATTAGCTGCAACCCCGTCATCGCCATCACAGGTCGATGGATCCGATTCACAAGTCGTTGGGATGTCAGTGGCCGCCCCGCCGCGCGCGACACGACGCGAGGCTGGCGCCGCGCCAGGTCTGCTGCGCCGGGTCTGGTCTGTGGGGGCTCCACGGCGACGGCCTGCTTCAGGAGCAGCAGGGCGGGATTCTTTGGCTGCGGCGCCGGCGATTATGCAAGATGAGCAGCGCCTCCTCGTCCAGAGCGTTCAACCCGGGGTGGCGTGGTGGGGCGTGGTGGGGCGTGGTGGGGCGTGGTGGGGCGTGGTGGGGCGTGGTGGG